GCCCATGAAGACATTTGCCAGGAATGGTCCAAGTGGTGAGCCCATTGCCACTGGTTTTAATTTTGATAACATCTGATAGAGGCCGTCAGGCGAAGACCAGGCGAATACTCTAATCTGTGCATGTGTTCAACTATTCTACGGTTTTCTCTGATGAAGGGTTTGGGCCAGAATCTGTAAGGTCAGGCAAACAAACCTCCTGTTCCAGTGATCACCTGTTCTATTTCTGAAAACCAAGGTCTTTTAACCCGGGCATTCGCGTGAGTAAGACATTCTTCTATTAACGCTTACGGGGAGCTAATTTTGTTAAAATTCACACGTTTATATAGGATATCCAGGACTTGTTATTTTAAAAACGAAATGCATATTTAAAGGGTGTTTTCATCAGGTGATAAAAGCAGTTCGTCTAGCAAAGTTTCCCGCCGACTGCCCCAATCTTGAGGACATCACTTGAAGGTCCATAGCCGTTTATTGTGGTAGTTTTCGCTATTATAATCACCCACTGATCTTGTCCAGTGGACTTGATTTAGCAGTTCCTGGTTTGGAATAAGATCTCGCTGTGGTTTCATGTTTACACCAAGGTATCAGGTTGGTTATTCAGTAGGCAGAAGAGGAACTCTAGTCATCTGAGACACTCTAAAACGCCAAATAATTTAACGAAATAATAAACCGTGTATTGGAGGCCTGCGTTAAAATTGCATCAGAAACAAATGTGCAAACTTGGCATTGGGTGCTCTAGTCAAAACTTTTCAGACTCTGCTGTGGAATCTCTTCCACAGGACTTTCCTTCTAGTAGTCATACCACCTTATGATGAAAGCACAACCTCGTGCTGAAAGCCGGAGTTGATACCACAAAACACGTGACGAATGGTGGGAGGCCCCGGTAGGTTAGCTGTCAGAAGCGACGAGATCCATTACTGCGTCAGTGTGCGCAGCCAGCAGTGACTTGTGCGTCAGTTGAGTTACAGTGAAGCAGACCGGCGTTACATCCGAAGTGAGTGAGAGAGTCATATAGGCCACAGCGGGAAGAAGCCATTGCGGTAGGAAACGGGGCTAAGAAACTCCCGTACTGCAGCTGGATTTGCACTAAATTCCAGGAGAACTAGGGTTATGGTTAGTTTTAAAGTTTGACACGAAAATGGGTACTCTTACTGGAAGTTAGCGCAGGCTCATTTTCCGTACAGAGCTGTGGTGGCCTAACTCTGAGTGCGCGCTCAACCTTTTGTCTTTTGCAACTGGGAGCACGTGCGCGCCGGTGTTTGCCTACCCCAGCCCGGTCTGGCCAATCGTCTCCCTGTGGCTGACTCATACATGACCACACTCTAGACGCCGTGATGACGCCCGCGCTCTGACACTTCAGACGCGGCCCTCTCGTGGATGCTCGTACATTCGTCCGACTGTTTATTTCTTCTAATCCATTCTCCACTAGTTCTTTACAGAGTCCCACTTCTCTTCTCACACGGAGCCGGGTCTGAAGATCAGAGCGACAGGGGTTTTACCTATTAAAGTAAACCATTGCGATAGGGTTGTAGCAGGCGTTAACGCCAATGTGGGAACCCGTGATCGTTGACTCATCACGCCAACGCTGCATTTACGCTGACTACCGGCACCCTGTCCGTCTGTTGCTCAGTGCCCTGCGCGACCTACTAACACACCCAGTCTCGGCTGCGCCCACACCGCGGCTTAATCTCGCGCGGTCCAACCAATCACAGGCTGATTCACACAAGACCTCAAGGCAGTGACTGCTGGCTAGATGACACTTGGGATTCCGCCCTGAGCTCAGTGGACGTGACGACGTCGCGCTCTCAAACGGCCCTCACGGTCGAACGCTATGCCAGACCGAGTAGCAACTTTCTTCTAACTCTTGTGTACACAATACATTGTTCATACCACTCTGGCCTTCCCAAGACTTCTATCCTCTCCTAAGAACCGGGCCTGGAAGATCGCAGTCGTAAGGGTTAACCTTAATAGCCTTAACACCTCAGCGATAGGGTCTCCTATAATGGTGTCTTACCGCCACTGAAACCCGGACCTTAATCCTGGACAGGATCGAGGTATCCCGGCAGCAGTAACCTTTCAAGTCACAACTGTTACCACGTTATAGCGTAAAACTCGTACATGTATTATTGCAGTGAATGGTTATGTGCTTAAGGGGATCTCATTATGCGAAATACTCTCTCCTGTCTCATCCATATCCCAATGGTCTGCTAGTGAACACCTGTGATAGGCGACCTCTTACTGATATGTAAGTGTTTGGCCAGGCCGATGTGTGACTGGGACGTGAAACGATGTCCGCATTGCTGGTGGGTTATATCTATGCCTTTCCGGTGAAACCCATGCAGCGGGTATGAAGATGTTCAGTACGGGCGCGGGGGGCGCAGGGGAAAGAGGTGTTACCAGCAGTGGCGTTTTTTGTAGGGGGGGGGAGGGGGTCAACCTTATTCATTTCGAGAAAGGACTGTATTGAGTGGAGCCCAGAAAGGTCAACTCTGACAATGTACGCACATGAAGCTACGAACATAGTAAAAGGGATATGACCCTGGCAGATGTGTACCCATGATACCTAGATTTACGTGATAATCACTTCGGCATGACCTACAGAGTTCTGTTGATGTCAAAGACAGTTGCCTCAACTTATTTGACTGTTCTCTCGGCTGTGACCATTTCGAGTTTGGCGCATCCAGTGATGAAGAGGTTAAGACCTCGCTGCGTGTCTGCCTCACTTATGACGTCCAGTGTGCCCTCGTCAAAGAGGAGCAGGTTGCCAGCTGCTCGGTAGTTGATATTGATTCCTCGCCGATCAACACGGAAGATGCTTGTTAGCAGTGAAGAAGAGAGAACACCGAAGAGTGTTGGAGGAAGTACGTAACTCTGCCTTCATCCATTTGGCACTCGAATATTTCCGAGATTCGTCCATCGATCACCAAGTGCTCCACCGTACCGTTATGAAACGGTCTGGCAATCCGCGAGAACTTTTCGGGCTAACCATATTTCATTGAAATTCCTCACAACATGCTTATTTGTGTATTGTCAACGGCCCTGAGGAAATTTATGAGGATTATATTTAGAGTCTGATTTTTGTTTCCTGGAATGTCTCCTGATGTTGTCGCAATGCAACTATCTTGTTCCTTGTTGCACGGTGTTTCCGGAATTCGCCGTTTCTGGCAGAGATCTGCTTTTGCCTAAGGTGCGAGCGATTTAGTAAATGGGGGGCTAAGATTTAGCCAGAAAGACTGAGAGGAAGTATTCTCTGATGATTGTCATAAGGTTGCCGGTTTTCTTTGTGTACGCAAAGGCCAGGGGTCGGCAACCCATGGCTCGCGAGCCATATATGGCTCTTTTGAT